ACACACACACACACACACACACACACACACACACACACACACACACACACACACACACACACACACACACACACACACACACACACACACACACACACACACACACACACCCACGAGTACACACGCACGCGCGCCCGCGCACACAGAGAAGGGGAGCGACAGAGCGCGCGTGCGAGAGAGAGAGAGATACTCATGTCTATGGTAGATGAACATTGCTACGTGTATAATTATACTGTCATGTAAATCTAGGTGTTTGCTGTCGCGTGACTTGACGTAGATACGTGGGTACGTGTGACGTATTAGCAATCTATTCGCACCTCTCTGACAGGGGACCATTTACAATTCATTAAAACATCAATTATTAAGAAAACTGCAGTTATAAAGTCATCTATTATTCGCGTATTGTAGCTGGATGTATAGCGGAAAGAAAACGTCATCTGCTGTTCTATCTGACATGGCTATGTATCCACGGCCACTGAAGATATTAAAAAAGTTAGGTTAGTATGGATTTAATCCGTAAGAAGACGATAAGAATAGACGTAAAAAGAATAGCTTCAAAAGGGGGTTATTTTAAACTCGATCCGTAGATATTGGAAATTGCGTAAATGCCCACGCGTGCTTGATATCCGGGTGCAGAGTATGAGATATAGCCTGCAGCCTAGCTACGCGCTTGAATTCTCTTATATTAGTTTGGCTTCCTCACTCGTGGGTTGCCTCTGGCTGGCTTTTGCACGGTCTTTTTTTGCGGGGCACAGATTAAGACAAAAAACACTGTCTGGCAATAATTCGGACTCAACTTCACGTAGAGGCAGTGTCCGAGTTCCCAGCTTCGACGACATGGTTTCTTCTTTTCTGTTGAACCCCGACGATTATACGCACGCAGCGTGGTACTTTCTCTCTGCCCTTCCTCTCACGCACACATACACACACGAGCGCGCGCGCGCACACACACACACACACACTCTCTCTCTCTCTCTCACTCTCTTTCTCGCGCTCTCTCTCTCGCGCTCTCTCTCTCTATCGTTCTCTCTTTGTCGCGCGCGCTCTCTCTTTCTCCTCTCTCTTTCTCATTCCATCGTTCGCTCTCTCGCTCTTTCTCCCTCTTTCTGTCTCTCCCTTTCTCTCCCTCTCTCCCCCTCTCCATTTCTCGCTCCCCCTCTCTCGCTCTCTTTCTCTTTCGCTCCAGCCGGTCTAACCTCGCATGCTGGCTCAGCCGTCGCGCTGCACGATCGATGCGCTCGCTTCCTTATCTGTTTTGCCTCATCCTGTTTGTCGTGCGAAATTGTGTAAATACTACGCACGGCCGGAATCCTAACTACCCTGCCCTGCGGAGCTTTGAGAGCGGCGGCCGCCGTCTCGCCACGAGAGTTGACCAAGAACCGTCGGTCAAGCAGGGTCAGCGGCCGGTCGCCAATATGGCGACCGAGATGACGTCATCGCGCGTCGGCGACTGCTTGTTTCTTTTTCGAGTGGACACGGAATTGGATTTTGTAAGCGGCGTGTTCAGCTGCAGTGGATATGCTGAGTGGAGAGGGGAAAGTTCTGCCGCTTTTCCTCGGGTACGAAAATGGCACGGTTCTGATTTCAGACTAGGGAAGTGTATTAAGCAGGTGACGTCAGCCGCGAAATCATATTTCCGTTTCGCCGACGCAGCCAAGTGATATAAGATGTTGCCCTTTTGCGTTAAGGCGACACACGATGATGGAAACTGATAAGCTGAACAACGTTTTCCAGTGTTTAATGCAACTGTTTAGTGAGGGATGAAGTTCCTTGAACGACCACGTTGGAAGTGGTCATCCGTCATTCTCACACTTTCAATAGGATACTGATTAACACGTGTCCAACTAGTGTTACGTTTGTTCTTTCAAACACAAAAACAAATATTAAAGGCATGCTACTTTTTTTCTACTACTGCCTGATACGTTTTCGTCAAGAAATTCTCATATTTGCACGACGCACACGTTTGCTCTGTTTATGACGTGGGTATTCTTTGTGTTGAATAAATATGTAATGAAAAAAACTTCCTATCCTATTCAGGAACATTTAGAAACCAATATTTTTTTAAGAAACTCACAAGAAATGATAAGGACCTTTGTTAACGCGTGACATTGCTATTGTAAAAGCGTTGGGCGCCGTGACTATTTTCCCCTACTTATTTATACGATCCCACGCTATTTACATAATAGTGTACGTCGGACTTTGCTAGCGTACATAATAATGCCGCATGATAATCAGTGTACATGCGAGGCTTCGGATTCTGTGCACGGCACAACCTGTACCCATATGGTAGATTTACAGATGTCATGTTTACCCGTGTTGTTATGCGATAGCATTACCTGTCTGCCGTCGAACATGTTTGAAGAACAATGCGTATATATTGCATGTCAGCAGAAATATCAGAGGAATAGCTGGCAATCAATTCAGTACACAGAACACACGCCCATCATGAATGGATCATGTGACTTTGCTGAGTCGTTTCAGACGATCCCCCGCTGGGCCACGCTATTCATGTCTATTCTGTTTACCCTAACCCTTAACCTGATTGAGCAGCGAGCGGGTTTCACTGCCTCCCTTGCCCACATTGCTGTAATATTGTACCAATCAGTGTGATACATGCATAACTCGTGCCGTGTCCCCCGGTGCACTAACGCAATACAGCAGCGTGGTCGGGATATCGACGCGATATATAGACATTGCTGGCATATAACACGAATCGGTGTCCAATGTGGCCAGTGCCATGTCAATGTGACAAATTTCAGTGTCATGTCGGTGTGACCAGTGGCTTGACGATGTGACCAATTTCAGTGTCATGTCAGTTTGAGAAGTGGCATGTCAGTGTGACCAGTGTCATGTCAATGTCACCCAGGTAAGTGTCCAAGTGTGATCAGGTGTCATGTCAATGTCACCCAGGTAAGTGTCCAAGTGTGCTCATGTGTCATGTCAATATCAGTAATATCAGTGTCCAAGTGTCACCAGTGTCATTTCAATGTCACCAATGTCAGTCTTTATATGTGACCGGTGTCCGGAGCCAGTGTCACCAGTGACCGTTTCTCTCTTGTCCGCAGTGCACCGCATGAAGCAGTCGCCTGGAAGCGTGAAGCGAGACGCCGACCATGACGCAGACGCCTCGCCGACGGCCAAGCTGCTGAAGCGAGACGATCTACACGCGGGTGGGGACCACGCGGTCGGCAGGAGACACGTCGTCGGCACGGGCAGGGACGCCGGACAGCGGCACAGCCCCTCGTCGCCGTCGCCGGCCTCGTCGCCGCGCGACGTCGAAACGTACTGCCATTGCTGCGACATCCGGTTTCAGTCTCGCGACACGCTCGCCGTGCACAAGCGCTTCTACTGCACGCTGCGACAGCAGTACGCGCGCGAACGCGAGCCGATGCCCATCCCGCCCCCGCCGCCGCCGCCTCCCCCGCTGCCCGGCTACGTCGCCGACGCCGACGCGCTGCAGCACATGTCGTCACAGCGCCCCCTGCTGATCCAGTCGCTGCTGCCGGACGGCGCGACGCCGGTGTCGCTCGCGGGCGCGCTGCCAGGTGGCGCCAACATCGTACTCGTGCCGTGCCTCGTGCCGAGCGTCATCGTGCCGGCGGTCAGCGCGGCCGGCGGTCACCCGTTGGACCTCGCCGCGTCGCACCTCGCCGCCGACGTGCGGCCGAACACGGTGCGCGCGCATGGCGGCGCGAGGGCGACGGTCGGCGACGGAGCAGGAGGAGGAGGAGGAGGAGGAGGAGGAGGAGACGAGCAGCAATCCCCGCTCGACCTCTGCACGCGGAAGAGCGACGCGTCGAGTAAATCATCGCCAGGCGGCAGCGTCGGCGAGCGGACGACGTGCGAGACGACGGCGGCCGACGCCAGCATGACGACGGTGGCGCGCGACACGGCGAGCGCGCACCTGACGCCGACCGCGTCGCCTGCGCCCGTCGCCACGGCGGCGGCGGCGGCGCAGGCGTTCCTGCGCAAGGGCGTCAGCCACTGCGTCGAGTGCAACATCGTCTTCTTCAGCCACGAGAACTACCTCGTGCACAAGCAGTACTACTGCTCGTCGCGCCAATACGCCGCCTTCCCTGCGCCGCCGCCGCCGCCGCCGCCGCCGGCCAGCCGCCCCTCCGCTAGTCCGCCGCCGCCCGCCGCCGAGCCCAGCAACGAGCCACCGAGCGTGAAGACCGAGCGGGCAAGCATGCCGGCTAGTCCCACAGCGAGCGGCGGCGGCGGCAGCGGGAGCGGAGTACCGCGCTGCTGCATCACGTGCGGCATCAGCTTTATGTCTATCGACACGCTGCAGGCGCATCAGCTCTACTACTGCCCCGCGCGACACGAGCTGGTACGCGACGGGGCCACCCACCCGCCGCCGCCCCCGCCACCAGCGCCGCAGCCGCGGGACGAGGCGTGCGCGTGCGACGGCGGCACGCTGGCGGGCGTGCAGCTCTACAGGCGGCACGCGAGCGGCGAGCGCGTCTGGCGCTGCTACGTGTGCGGCGTCGCGCGCGACAGCGAGCTGCAGCTCAGCGAGCACCTGCGCCTGCATCGGCTGCTGAGCGTCTTCGAGTGCACGACGTGCGGCTACCGCGGCGGCACGGTGCGCGGCATGCGCATGCACGCCAAGGTGCACGGCGACGGCGCCGACCCGGACGCCAAAATCTTGCAGATCGTCATCCCGCAGGCGCCGGAAGAGGGCGCCACCGAGGAGGTGCTCGACGGCGAGATCGAGGCGATTCTGTCGAAGCAGCGCCCCTACCGGCGCCGCATGTCGAGGCGCGGCAGCTGGCGGCGGCCGTTCCCGTGCGAGTGCTGCGCGCTTACGTTCGAAAGCTTCGTGCAACTGTCGGCGCACCTGCAGACGCACGGCGGCGGCGCCGACACGCGCGACGACGACACGCGCGACAGCAGCGCCGCCGCTTCGGTTAACGGCGACGAGGCGGCGTCGGTGGACGCTCGCTCCTGCGACGACTGGACTGAGCGCGAGTCTCGGGTCGGCGTGGCGGTTAAGCAGGAGCCGGCGAGTGACAACGAGGTTGGCGCGTCGCGCGATGTCTCACCCGGCGCGAGCCCCCAGAGTGAGACAGTGAGGCAGTCACCGAGTGAGACGTTAAGGCACGTGGAGGCGCTGGGACAATCGTCGTCCTCGGGGCATCCGTCGTCGTCGCCGCCGTCGTCCGGCGAGACGACACGTCGTCGCTCGTCGCTGCACGATTCGCTGACTCGATCATCGCCGACCGACGAGCCGTGGAAACAAGCGGCGACGACCGTTGACAGGATGTCCGGCACTGTAGAGCTAGGCGTCACTACGGTTACCGTGAAAACGGAAGTGCACGAGAAGGAGGAGGATGCAGAGGATGAGGAGGAAGAGGCTGATGACAGCTGCGCGGCGCATCCCGACAGCAGTAAATCACCGCCGCCGGAAAACGAGCGCACTAACGAAGTCGACTCGGCCGAGCTGAGCATCAGCAACAAGAAGAAGAAGGAAACAACCGCCGCCGCTGCTGCTGCTGCCGCGGAGGAGGAGGAGGAAGAGGAGGAGGCGGATGCGCTGACAGCTGCCACGAGCGTGGGGCTTCTCTTTCGCGCGCGAGTCAACGGAGAGAAAGAGGACGCGGCGTCGTCCACCGCCCGCTCCTCCCCGCCTCCCCCTCCTCCTCCTGCAGCCCCGGAGCACGGCAGCGTGGCGGACAAGCATTGTACAAACTGTAACATAACGTTCACGTACCTCCACTCGTTCATAGCCCACAAGAAGTACTACTGTCAGCCACAGAATGGCGAGCGACATCCCATGCTGAGTCAGAATCACGGGACGATGAGTCCGTCGTCGATTGCCCAGACGTAGATCGGCAGGGCGGCGCGATAGAGTACGATTAGAGTAATATATATAACTTTTTTATTTCGAGTCTTATCTGTAGCCATTGTTAAATAATCAAATTTTATATGTTATCGATGTGTTATTGTTGTCGTGATCAAATAAGAGCGTATTGTCTTCCCTGTATCTTCAGTGTCTGCAAGAAGGAGAGAGAGAGAGAGAGAGAGAGAGAGAGAGAGAGAGAGAGCGCGCGATTCAGTGAAAGAGAGAGGAGGAGGAGAGAGCCGCGCGACGATTCGTGAAAGAGAGGAGAGCGCTGATTCAGTGAAGAGAGGAGAGAGAGAGAGGAGAGAGAGAGGAGAGAGCGAAGAGAGAGAGAGAGCGGCGAGAACGAGAGTGAGGAAGAGAGAAGAGCGGCTGAGAGAGAGAAGAGAGAGAGAGGAGAGAGAAGGAGAGAGGGAGAGAGCGCGCTCGTTATTTCAGTGAAGAGAGAGAGAGAGAGTGTGCGTTGCGTCGCGTGCGTGCTGCGCGGTTGCGTGCGTGCCGTGCGTGCGTGCGTGCGTGGTGCTGTTGCGTGCGTGGTGCGTGGGGCCTTGTGTGTGTGTGTGTGTGTGTGTGTGTGTTGTGTGTGTGTGTGTGTGTGTGTGTGTGTGTGTGTGGATTGTGTGTGGAAGTTGGCGTAGTGATTATGAATGTGTGATGTGCGTGCGAGAGCGAGAGGGGAATGAGGCGAGAGAGAGAGAGAGAGAGAGAGAGAGAGAGAGAGAGCATGAGAGCATAGCTTCATGTGAGCCGGTAGACGGCTAGGCCGCGTATGTAGTTTACATATTGCTTTGAGCAACACTCGTTTTGTGAAACTAGTCGATGGTAACCATTCTCACAGTTCTGCATTAAATCTTTGTCGTCCGATAGGCTGTCGGTGCATTGCATGGCCCCAGAGTTTGGGCTGAGTTGTAAAATGTCTGTATATTCGTCATGGGGTTGCATTCCCGATGTAATGAACCATGTTCGTGTATATGAATCATCAGCAGCAGCGCAGCAGCAGAGTTGCGTGAGTCGATGGTAAGCTTGCGTACATTGTACTCGTGCATTCGTAGCGTATTAAACACAACATTGTGAGTTATTTCTCTCGCTTTCCCGCGTAGCTTGATTCGTCATATAGTCAGCTTCGATCGTGACAGGTACGCGCGCACCTGCATAGACGCACACCCGCGCACGCACACAAACAAGTACATGCGTGCCCGCGCACTCAGTTCGGGTACTGAATAATAACAAGGCAGGCTTATATTATCTGTAACATTCGCACTCCCCAGCCCACATACGCACGCCCGCACGCTCGACCGCACACGCACGCACGCAAGCACACCGCCGTGGTTTCAACATGCCCACAACCTAGGGTCCCTATATACAGAGAGTTGCGCCATGACGAGTCGGAAAAAATCGGTCACGTGATCGCTGGACGCCATGTTGTTTCCAAATGGATCCACACCGCTGCCGCTCAAGTACAGCACTGTACAGATACGCTGTTCAATGGTCCATAGTAATTAATTAGACTAATTAGACTAGAAATGTTACTTAAATCGTTCGCGCCATATGATAGTTTAATTGTACACTTTCTTACCGCCTATAGGTGTGCGTATATTCCTATATGCGATACCGCGCGTAGATATTTGCAAATTAATTAAACCACTCGCGCTTCAATAAACTCCAGAATCACAGAGATCATAGATAACACACGTGTACTTGCACACGCACGCATACACACTCATGCACGCACGTGTACGTGCACACGCACGCACGCACGCACGCATGTCTACGTGCATATGCACACGCACGTTTGCATACACACGCACGCACGCATAATAATAGCTATCGGGTGTTGTCGTGTAGACGCTACATAATCGCTAACTCGAGTTAACGCTTAACTCGAGTTAAGGTTCGTCGTGTAGACGAGGCACAGTGTAGATAGGGTCCCTATATACAAAGGGATATAAGGTAATTAAGGGATATAATATATAAGGATGTAAGTGTAGACACATCGCACAAAGAGACACAAAACCACGCACACGCGCGTGTGCTTTCTCTCGCGACCAGAACCAGAACCTGTAACATCAATGCAGCCGCAACAAGATGCGCGACGCTGTGTCTAGATAGACTTAGGGTCCCTATATACAAAGGGATAATTTGTATATAGGGACCCTAGATAGACTATTACTACAACAACCCCTAGTCTAGCTCCACTGACTAATTCATGCAACACGTGAAAAACACATGTTACAGCTGCGAGCGAGTGGAGAGTGGAACGCATTTATCTTGTGAATTACTTATTCAATTATCTTGTGCGGCTATGGGGGGTAAGAAAGTGTACAATTAAACTATCATATGGCGCGAACAATTTGAGTTACATTTCTAGAAGTCTAGATACACATGGACACATGTCTTAGCTATAATTTCGGTGAATTTTGAGTTTATTGAAGCACGATTAGTCTAATTAATTACTATGGACCATTGTACAGCGTATCCATACAGCGCTGTACTTAAGCGGCAGCGGTGTGGATCTATTTGGAAACAATATGGCGTCAAATCCTGGGTTGTCGCAACTCTCTATATATAGGGACTCTACCACAACCTGCTCTAGTGCATGCTGGACATACCCACA